CGTCGATCGACTTACATGAATTCTCGTTTATTGCGTTCCAATTGGGATTATTAATTAAATCTACTTATCATTTATATATTTTCGTGGAAATTGAGTTCGTTATCTACAGCGGCGATCTATGTATACGGCGAAAGATCATGCCGAAGAGTGGAGGCATGTGGCTACGCTGGCCAACGTCAATGATAGGCAGATAAATGGACGCAGATAAACGAGCGGAAAACGAGGGAAAGGTGGAGATACGGGGAGGAAAGACACTGCGCGAGTGGTTATTCGCGGATCAACGTCTGCCACGACCACATTTCGCAAGTGATCCGGTGTTACGTAGCATTCCGGTAGCATGAAACGAGGGAAAAGATCGTAGAATGCGTTCCCTCGTTACACTTTTTCTCTTTTCCTGATTGACAAGTGTCGGTCCTCTACGATAACTCTAAAAAAAAAAAATAATTATCGGTCGCGTTAGTAAAAATTTCGATTCAGAGATAATCGATTTCCCTCGCTCTCTGAACTTTTTTTCTTCTTTCCCAGACATAGCATTCGATCGATCAAATCAAAAGTTCCCGAGTCATCTTTTCTATAACAAATTCCGATAAAAGATCGAATTTGTGCTCGATATTTATTTTTTCATCCCTCCCACTTCTGGCAAGATCCACTTTCTGAAACACAAACGCTAAACGCAATTAGTTATTCGCGCCTTAATCTGCATCGATTTCGACAACACTCGGATTTTTCGCGAATGCGTGTTGCGTGGTTCGCGAGATACGCGCCCAAGATACGCGATACCGCTACTTATTGATCACGACCAAGATATGGAAGTTATCCGGGTAACGCAACAATCATTGATCGCACGATGCATTGTTCAATTCGTTCGTATATTCGCCACATTCTTGTTTTCACATTGTTGCACAAAAAAAAACAAATGCAACATTGCATAGCGTTTCTAGAAAGTTCCTGCGAGGGAATGGAAGAATCTCGCTCGAATTCCCCAAGTTGCACGCAGGCAGAACGCAGGCAGAAAAGCGTTACATTAACCGATCGATCCAAGGTTTTGTATATCGGCGTTTGAGTGACAGCATTATCTTATTTCCGTGGCTGATCGATGGCAGAGGGTTGCTAGTCCGATTCGATCGTTCACCGTCGCGACATCGATACCGCCTACGGTGTCTCCCACCCCTATGTGTCCGTTTCAATAATAAATAACAGGAAGCGTAAAGAATGATCGACAGGGGCGAGAATATATCTCTCGATAGCCGGGCAGAGAAACGTTACGAATATCCGTGCGCGCAGGTGTTCACGAATCGTGCGTGCACGTTTGGCCGAGAATTATTTGGCGGATTTTAGGGAGGGTAGAATGCTCGTTCCATCGAACATCGAGATTTCGAATTCACTCCGCGTCCCGTTCTTCCCCTGCGCGACTTTCGAATCTCGTTTCGACGCGTTGGCATTCCCAGGGCCAATGAGGAGAGATCGAGCACGTTGCTCGGTCGAAGACGAAGAAAAAGACCAACACCACCACGCCCAAGGTACGTGGCAGGAACGCAGACGGCCGTGTTGGTACCTATGTAGCCGCGTCTACGTGTCTATCCCCTTTGCACGTACAAGCTCCTCCTCGTGGCGATATGTACTTGGCGTGTACGAGTACTATCCGTCCTTGTTACCCTCTCGCTCCCTCTTCATACCCTGTGCCAGCACGGCGGCACGAACGCGCGCTACCACGTCCTCAAATTGAAGCCCCGAAGAAAAAGAGATGCGTGGCCTTCTCTCTTCGAACCTCGCCTTCGTCCCTTCTTTCCTTCCTTCTCCTCCTCCTCCTCCTCCTCTTCTTCTTCTTCTTCTTCTTCTTCTTCTTCTCCTTCCTCTTCTTCTCGCAATCCTTCTTCGTTTTCCGTCGTGGCAAAGTCGAACTCGGTGCGAGTAAAGCGAAGGGGAAACGAGGGAAGGAAGGAAGGAAGGAAGGAGGGGAGGGAAAGGCTAAGAGGGATAAGAGGGACGCGACACAAACGGGAAAGAGACGAACGGAGAGACGAAGCGGTTTCGAAGCGAGGGGGAGGAGACCAGGAACGAAGGGAAGATGGAAGAGTATCCGAAGGCTGTGTAGGCGCCATGTTGCGCCTGGCGATGACAAGAAACCCGATGCGACGGTAGCAGGGCCAACGGTACAGACAGAGGCGCTTGCTCGAACGCCTTGATTGGCCGATTACAGATTATACACGGTGCACCCTGAAGAGATGCACCGGCAACGAGATTCCCGGGGATCGGCTACCGCGATGCCGGCACACGGCTCTTCCACGTATGTGCGTAAACGTATGTGATTCGTCTACG